AAATCACCAACACAGGTCAGAGAATCAACAGTTAAAACACATGAAGAATATAAAGCACACACAGAAGAAAATGTCCATACATGTTGTAGAATGCTAAAGTGTCCTGATCATCACCAATCCTTTCTGTTGGACACTAACTGTCCAACAAGACCCTCCTGCATCGACAAGGAAAAACTCTTAAAAAACCCAGTGGGAAAACGTGAGAAATAAATAATGTATTAATTGTAGCGACCAGTAATAAAAAATGCCAGTGAAGTGAGTTACTGGTGCCGACAGAAATGTGGAAAACTCAAAGGCATTGTTTGATTGATGGATGTCAGAAGGCAAAGTGAACACAAATCAAACATGGCAAAATGACAGCGACTATTTGAGCCCATTGTTTTGAACCAACTGTAAATAAGGAAAAAACACAGATAAACAAAACCAGTTGCATTGAAACATGTATTTTCCCAGAATCTGGAAAGAAGCTTTGATCTGACTGTGTTTAATGGTCTGATGTCTCCCCTGCCGAAAAGTGCGGCTTGCTCTGCTGTCCCATTACTGGATCGAATAAAGAGTGTAATGAACAAGTTGCATTGGAGATTGAGAGTGGACTTCACAGGCGTCGCAAGAGACCGCGGAACAAGGATGATTGTGTATTTGTCTGAACAACAACAGAACCAGCGTTAGAACAACCAAAGATGATGTGCACGGCTCCAGCTTTCGCAACAACGCAAACAAACAAACTCCATATATATATATTTAAGGTTTTAGTTTGTGGTAAAAAAGATTGGGCTTTTTTCATTAGGTCCAAAGTTAAAAGAAACTAGAAACTTGCAATGGCTGAAGCCATTGCGATTGACTGCGGAACAGATCTAATGTGGAAATCTGCTAAAAAAAATCCTTGAAATCCTTTAAAAGGCCTTGAAACTGTTAAAATACTTGATAGATATTTGAAACTCCTGAAGTCCTTGAAATTGTTGAAACCTTTAAACTCCTGAAATCCTTGAAACTGTTGAAACATTGAAACTCCTGAAATCCTTGAAACTTTTTTAAACCTGGAAACTGTTGAAAGTGTGGAAACTCCTGAAATCCTTGAACCTCCTGATATCCTTGAAACTGGTTAAATTCTTAAACAGTTGAAATCCTTGAAACTACTGAATGTATTGAAAGTGTCCTTGAAACTGAAAAATCCCTCACCGCTGAAACAATTTGGTTCCTGTAACTAAGGAAACCTGGTCTGTGGTCATTATCTGGTGGTGGTCTGAGTCTTCGTTTGGGTCTTGGTCTGGTGGTATAATGCAACCTATTAGGTTGCATTATACTGGTTTACATGGAAAAATCCCTATTAGGTTGCATTATACTGGTTTACATGGAAAAATCCCTATTAGGTTGCATTATACTGGTTTACATGGAAAAATCCCTATTAAGTTGCATTATACTGGTTTACATGGAAAAATCTCTATTAAGTTGCATTATACTGGTTTACATGGAAAAATCCCTATTAGGTTGCATTATACTGGTTTACATGTACAAATCCCTATTAAGTTGCTTTATACTGGTTTACATGTAAAAACCCCTATTAGGTTACATTATAGTGGTTTACATGTAAAAATCCTTATTAAGTTGCATTATACTGGTTTACATGTAAAAACCCCTATTAAGTTCCATTATACTGGTTTACATGTAAAAACCCTATTAAGTTGCATTATACTGGTTTACATGAAAAAAACCCTATTAAGTTGCATTATACTGGTTTACATGGAAAAATCCCTATTAAGTTGCATAATACTGGTTTACATGGAAAAATCCCCATTAAGTTGCATTATACTGGTTTACATGAAAAAAACCCCATTAAGTTGCATTATACTGGTTTACATGGAAAAATCCCTATTAAGTTGCATTATACTGGTTTACATGGAAAAATCCCTATTAAGTTGCATAATACTGGTTTACATGGAAAAATCCCCATTAAGTTGCATTATACTGGTTTACATGTAAAAAACCCTATTAAGTTGCATTATACTGGTTTACATGGAAAAATCCCTATTAAGTTGCATTATACTGGTTTACATGAAAAAAACCCTATTAAGTTGCATTATACTGGTTTACATGGAAAAATCCCTATTAAGTTGCATTGTACTGGTTTACATGGAAAAATCCCTATTAAGTTGCATTATACTGGTTTACATGAAAAAAACCCTATTAAGTTGCATTATACTGGTTTACATGTAAAAACCCCTATTAAGTTGCATTATACTGGTTTACATGGAAAAATCCCTATTAAGTTGCATTATACTGGTTTACATGAAAAAAACCCTATTAAGTTGCATTATACTGGTTTACATGTAAAAACCCCTATTAAGTTGCATTATACTGGTTTACATGGAAAAATCCCTATTAAGTTGCATTATACTGGTTTACATGGAAAAATCCTATTAAGTTGCATTATACTGGTTTACATGGAAAAATCCCTATTAAGTTGCATTATACTGGTTTACATGGAAAAATCCCTATTAAGTTGCATTATACTGGTTTACATGGAAAAATCCCTATTAGGTTGCATTATACTGGTTTACATGTACACATCCCTATTAAGTTGCTTTATACTGGTTTACATGTAAAAAACCCTATTAGGTTACATTATAGTGGTTTACATGTAAAAATCCTTATTAAGTTGCATTATACTGGTTTACATGTAAAAACCCCTATTAAGTTCCATTATACTGGTTTACATGTAAAAACCCCTATTAAGTTCCATTATACTGGTTTACATGTAAAAACCCTATTAAGTTGCATTATACTGGTTTACATGAAAAAACCCTATTAAGTTGCATTATACTGGTTTACATGGAAAAATCCCTATTAAGTTGCATAATACTGGTTTACATGGAAAAATCCCCATTAAGTTGCATTATACTGGTTTACATGGAAAAATCCCTATTAAGTTGCATTATACTGGTTTACATGGAAAAATCCCTATTAAGTTGCATAATACTGGTTTACATGGAAAAATCCCCATTAAGTTGCATTATACTGGTTTACATGGAAAAATCCCCATTAAGTTGCATTATACTGGTTTACATGGAAAAATCCCTATTAAGTTGCATTGTACTGGTTTACATGGAAAAAACCCTATTAAGTTGCATTATACTGGTTTACATGGAAAAAACCCTATTAAGTTGCATTATACTGGTTTACATGTAAAAACCCCTATTAAGTTGCATTATACTGGTTTACATGGAAAAATCCCCATTAAGTTGCATTATACTGGTTTACATGAAAAAAAACCCTATTAAGTTGCATTATACTGGTTTACATGAAAAAACCCTATTAAGTTGCATTATACTGGTTTACATGGAAAAATCCCTATTAAGTTGCATTATACTGGTTTACATGGAAAAATCCCTATTAGGTTGCATGATTACACTGAAGTCCTTGAAACTGCTGAAGTCCTTGAAACTGCTGAAGTCCTTGAAACTGCTGAAGTCCTTGAAACTGTTGAAGTCCTTGAAACTCTTGAAATCTTGAAACTGCTGAAATCCTTGAAACTGTTGAATCCTTGAAACTGTTGAATCATTGAAACTGTAGAAATGTCTGAAAGAGCTGAAGTCCTATTAAAATGCATGGGCCTATTAAAATGCATTGCAGAATTCTCAATGCAGATTTTTGTCCGATTGCGGAAAAACCGGAAATCGCTGAAGTCCCAAAAGTAATAGCAATAATCTCCCAAACATGTGGAACGTTTTGATGTATAACTTGTGGAAATTGTTGAAAATGTGAAAGCTGTGAAACGTGTCAAAAAAAATGACGGAATAAAGAAATACAAAACCAATGGTTGACTGCGGAAAGTTCCGCAGTCAATCAATAAAGAGGCTTTTCTCTTGCAAATACATGTACGATGCCAATGCCCTTTGAGACCAAACCAGCTGGATTTCACTTATAAAACTGGCAACCCAAAATATGTACTTATTCTGCTTTAGGATTGGATAATATTGTTAACAATTGTTAATAGGGCAGCACAATGTATTGAAAAAAAATTGTTATCGCAAATATTGGTGCGTGCAATATCCACATCGAAAAGATGCCCAATATATATAGATATATTGTTTTCCTTTATTAAAGACAACAAAACAGACAGACACATCAACATTCAACGATAACAACAAAAAACAAAAAAGTATATAAATAAATGCATTTGAAGGTCATTAATGTTGTGCTTATTTTTTGTTATTTGTCTCTTGTGTTTCAATGCAGACAAAAATATCGCAATAATATCGTCATCGAAATACTAAACACTCATATCGAATATCGCTCTAACGTCCAATATTGTGCAGCCTCAATTGTTATAATTGTTAAATAAATGTTAACTAGAAAAATGTGGCTATCAAGTCCATTGTTTAGAAAATGAAGGATTAAAACAAATTTCTCAGAAATTATGTATAAATAAACATCCATATAGCATGTGTGTGTGTTTTGAAAAGTTGTATGTTCCATATGTGGGTTGAATAAAGTAGATCCATTATCAAGAAGAATGTTACGTTGCATCACATTAAGTCGTGTCTCTTTTATGAGGCTAACCATTAGCTGACAAAAGTACTCTGAAAGGGCTGCAACAATATTAATCGCTAGATGGTATCATGAAGTCCAATGAACCCACCAGATAAGTTTTGGAACAGTTAAAAGTATTTGTACGGTGAAACCAAGGTTTCCCAGGCTTTCAACAACTCACAGATCACTTCTCAATCATCTGGAACTATATATGGCACAATAATATTGCTGTCACTTCACATTTGTCTGTTTCTTTGTGTTGGTCTTTCACAAACAATGTACTTCGATAAGATGTATTCATGTTTGTTATTGCAATGAGGTAAAAGAGCATGGAGTATCAAATGAATCCATTCTAAAAGCACTGTAAGATCTAAATCTCTATCTCGTCTGTCATTGATCGTCATTTCTCACGGCCCGCTCCTCTGTCCCCTGCAGCCGTGTGAAATCAACTTGAGCCAACGCAGAAACGCATGATGGCGAACAGAGGATGTGTAGAGAGGGCTTTCCACCAGAGGGTCAAAGGCCATGAAGCGCTTCGCCGATGCCCAGTCAGGAGTTTGAAGCCTGAGCACAGATGGACAGAAGAGTCTGGACCCTCCGAGGCCAAACGCTGCATCCTGTTACCCCACCACAGAGCCGCTGCCAGGCCAGAGGTTAATACAGCACGGCTCAAAGGGCAACAAAGTAATCTGCCCTCCACTCCAGTGGCAGACGCTGGAACAAACAGCCCAAATGCCCCAGGATGGACAGGCACAAAGCATTCTAAAGCTAACAGAGCTCCCGCTGCGCTGCCAGTGTGCACCGGTGCAGCAATGATCGTGCTTTTACAAGGGGACGGTGGTATTCTCGCCCCCGGGACCCACAACAACAAACATGCATACTTTTGGTTCTGATTTTTGACATGCTAGTATACATACATACCCACGAGGCAGCCTTTAGATCTGGTACTGCCATTAAAACATCTTCATCTTATAAAACAGACTCTCTCGCAACCACTAAACTACAGCTTTGTCTATACATGAAAGCTGTTTTAATGCTTTGGCGAAGTTGGCAACGTTTTTGTGAAGAAAATAAAAAGACAATATCCAGATGGAATGTTTTAAGATGTTTGCCCAGAGCTGGTTATTGTACCATCAAGACAAATTGAAGCTGGAATCGCACGTATACATTTGTTTGGTTTGTTAGGCTACACCTCTTTCAGAAAGGACGATGAAAACTCTACAATAAAAGTGTGGGATAGAGGTGTTCTCGAAAATGAATTGTGTGCTGATGCTAAGAATGACGTTGTTTTTCTTGTTTCAGCTGCTCTAACAAGAAGCAGCTTGCAGGCCATAAAACGCCATAATAAATAACTAGTAACAATAATAACTTGTGATAATTACTTGTTGTAAACACATAAGTGGATTATTTATCCATTGTGTAATTACAAGTATCTTCAGTTTCCTCAGCCGTCCAGATGTGAAGCCTCCTTTTACGTAAGTGTTCCATATGCTTAGCCTGGTTCTCATGCTGTCGGACCGGACCCCGTGATGCCGCGATCCCCTGCGTCTGTGTCAGCTCAAAGCCACAGACCAACACAAAAACAAACATTGGAGCTCCAGCTGTCGAGGGCAGAAGCCTACGGTCCTGTCGCCAGCATGGTTCTTTCATCAGCACCACTCTGCCCTCGTGGGACGGACTCGGAAAAGGAAAGAAAACACGACAGAGCGAGAGAGAAATGAACGTTTCCTATCAACGTAGCTGACAGTGTGTGCTCTGCAGCTGTGGATAAAAGCGTTAGGTTAATATGGACTGATAGATAAATGACTGGTGTCTGCTGGGATGCGGTCAGCCTGATCTATGTCAAAACAAAGGTTGTGACTTTTAATAACGTGACACTCAAATGGAATAAAAGTGTTGTGTCTTCACTTAAATATTGCAGTTAGAATGACACTCGTGCTGCGATACGGTCTGGGTTTGATCAAGACGCCAGCCTCAGAATGTTGGGTTCAGTTGTTCTGTGAAAATCAAATACTGTCTCAGGACAATACAATGAATTATCAAAAGATGAGACGAGCACAAATAAAATGTGTAAAATTACATAATATACATTAAAAAGTGGGTCAGTCCAATTCATGAAAAATAACTAACACTGAAACTGAAACCGAAAAAGAGTAACAAACCTGTTTTAAAGAAGAACATTTAAGCATTATTTTTTGGCCATTAAAATAAAAATGAGACTATTTACTTCTTTGTGAAATAATATTTTCAGTGGAAATTATATGGTTACATTGACTTTATCAATGGTAAAAAATGCTATCAGCCAGCCCTATCCCTATCCTACCACCAGAGGGAGATTTTTTATATTTATGACATTAGTGTGGAAAAAAAAAAACTCCAGGGAGGAAACAATGTTGTAACATGTATTGAAGAAGTGAAGCGAAAAAGTAGATTTTGCATAATATGTCTCCTTTAAATCTCTAATTTCATGCTTGTTGAACGTACGAGAAAAAAAATCTGTGTAATTTATTTAAGAAAAACATTGAAAACCCCTTTTGATCAATACGTGTAGATATGCTCTGTCGCCAAGCCCTATCCAAAAGCTGTAATTATTTTGTGTTATTATGTGGGGAGGTGGTTCCATTAAGGCTTGTACTGCGATGAGACATTAGCAGCTTAAGGCGCCCTGACAGCTCGTTTTCATTTACTCCCCCATGATAAAAACCTGTCAACTTTCCACCACAAACGCATTTTATGTGGCTTGTTCGACAACGACAACAAAGATGAATAATTTTACAATGGAATTTCTCTGTAGCGCTGCCAGACGAGACAAGGGGCACGACGAGAACTGCAGGGAAATCTAAGATGAAGATTGCAGTCGGCTGGCTCCAAATGCCCAAAGAGCTTGTGTGGAGATGACAATGCATAATGCCGATAATGACGCATAAACTGCCAAACCGCAAATGGCCCGTCTCACAATGACTCCCTCCGGTTAACATGGGCTGGCACGCTCCCTTGAATACGGGCTGAATATCAAAATAGTATCATATTTATTTAAACCCTTACATCCCAATTTCCCTTTTCTCAAAACCATACTACTTCTAAAAATACTATAAATTTGAGTTTTCAAACAATTCAAACTTGAAATGTCAGCCTAAATAGCGGGATCTTTTCTTTTGACTTGAAATGCCTGAGAAAAAGATTGCCTCGCGGTCATGGTGTGATTTGCGATAGCGTTCAGAAGAATCCATCAAAACTGCGGCCCTGTGTTTTTTCCGAAATGGTGTGTGGACCGGGAACGACTGTGGGAACGTGTGACGTGTTGTTTGGACCCGTGTTGGATTTTCACCACAGTGAAAGGGGATAGCTTTATAATGGGAAGAGCAATGTGTGCAATATCCGAAACTTTGATGATTTAAGCGAGTTTTATAACTTTGTTCACCTGACTCACCCTGACTGTACACGGAACACACCTTCGGGAAAAGGCAAGGAAAGGTTGAAAGCCACATGGAAGATGCAACCCAGGGTTTTTGATCAAAATTACAGAGTTTTTGTGTTCTAGCAATTAGTCAAAATGCATAAACTAAAAAATTAAAAAACAGCACTGATACTATAAAATCTATCTCTGAAGAATAAAGCCACATTGAGCCTCTTTATCTGATGATATGCAATCGATATAATGCATACAATATAAAAACAGATAAGCTTGATATTAGCTTCCATAAACCTTCAGATACAATTAAATTCAATAAAACCAAATCTTGACAAAGTGCTGTTTCTTATTTGTTAATATTCACAAAAGTCAAATGAAGAAAAAGCTCTCATATTCATTGTGTTCTGTATACAATACAATAGAATACAATACAATTTATTCTTGTATAGCCCTAAATCAGAAGTCATCTCAGAGGACTTAACAAAACCATTGAAATCACCAACACAGATCAGAGAATCAACAGTTAAAACACGTAACGAATATAGAACACACAGTCTGTGTGACTTAAATTGTGTGCAGGATCTTCAAACGGCCAGCAGATGGCGATCATTGAAATTGTATTAGTGCATAAACAACACAAGGTCATAGTTTAAAGTGTTCCTGTGATCCTTGAGGTTCCAAACTCAAGCATTATAGGATTTGCACAGGTATCAAATTGAAGAACTCCATATTGTCACATCCCAGTTGACCACACATATATATTGACCATATCCAACAGAACATTTACAGTATTAAACCCTAACCCTATCCAGATAAGCAACCTGAGCCTGGATTGAACGTAATACAACCAATGCATCTCGTGACTTGACTAACTGTTGATTGAAGCTGAAGAAACATGACACTTTTACATGTGAGTCACAGAGGAAAAGCCTCCGCATCTGTGATCCAGGACCAGCTCTTCAACCCAACACTGCGAGTGCGCGCGAACTGCTTCTGATCAAACTCAAGCATGAAAACACACAGATACAATACTCCTCTCGTTTGCTTCCTTTGTTTGCGTCTCTTCAAAACAGCGACCATTCAATCTCAACACAGTTCAAAAAGAGAAAGCCCGAGTGAGGGCGTATAAGGTTAGCTCAACATCAATGTTATTTTTATATTTACAAAACTATAATATTGATGCAGCGGTCAAACATGTCGTAAAAAATAAATCTGTGTGCTGCAAGAGGCAAACATCCTCCAGAGGGACTCAATAAAGGAGAGCATTAAAAACCTATTTGAAGTTGCAGGGGATGAGTTTTGATCTGGTGTTGAAATGAGTTCTGCTTCTTTGTCCATGATAACAGCCCATTAAAATATGGCCTAATTTCATGCTGCATCCATTGAAATGAAACGGCTGCCATGATGTTTGAACAAAATACACGCTCACAGAAGATAGCCTAACAGTAAACACTATTGTATTCTCATTGTTGTGAGAGCTTCATTTTTGTTCCACCGAACTGAACAGGATCTGTCAAAACTACATCAGTCTCCTACTGTTTCCTGGCAAATACAGTTTTGAGAGATAGACGGATACATTGGTCCCTCGTCGCCGGGGTTACGTTTGAAAAATAACGTGCAATAAGCTAAATCCCCAAAGTAGCAGCGATATGTTTAATGGTAAAAGCCCTCACCACACCCTTTATAACCACCTGAAAACACACCTGCTGAATATGATTGCGGCAATATCAAGTTTGTTGTGGGACTGAAGGGCAAGAGCAGGACTGAGGGCTATAGAAAGACTACAGTGGTCCTCTAAACTAATCACTTCAGTGCACACAAGCCACAACTATTCCCTTCTAACTTTAAACAAAGGAAACTGTCATGTTATACTGCCGGTTTTTAGGATGTTGTTTATGATGTTGTTTACATGCAGCACATAAGAAGCATGCTGTAAAAAAATAAAGCAAAATTTAACATACAAAACTCCGGAAAACAGCAAGGATACGGCGTCCAGCATCCATACATATATAATTGTAAATAGATAGATAGATAGATAGATCCTTTATTGATCCCCTGTAGGAGAGATTCAGGTGTCCAGTAGCAGCAAAAATAAAAATAAAATTGATCATTCTGAAAACATAATAATAGTAATAATCAGCAACAGCCCTTTAGGGCTCTGGGTGGAGCAGGACGGGTCACAGCAGCAGAGGTGGAGTAGCCTCTGGGTGGAGCAGGTCGGGTCACACCAGCAGAGGTGGAGTAGCCTCTGGGTGGAGCAGGACGGGTCACAGCAGCAGAGGTGCAGTAGCCTCTGGGTGGAGCAGGACGGGTCACAGCAGCAGAGGTGGAGTAGCCTCTGGGTGGAGCAGGTCGGGTCACACCAGCAGAGGTGGAGTAGCCTCTGGGTGGAGCAGGATGGGTCACAGCAGCAGAGGTGCAGTAGCCTCTGGGTGGAGCAGCTCGGGTCACACCAGCAGAGGTGGAGTAGCCTCTGGGTGGAGCAGGATGGGTCACAGCAGCAGAGGTGCAGTAGCCTCTGGGTGAAGCAGGACAGGTCAAAAGGTGGAGTACCCGCCTGATTCGGACCATTTTCTCTGCTCTGGTCCAAAGTAAAATGCTAAATGCTTCATTAGCATTTTTCAAAAAGTGAGCATTCCTCCAGTGGATTTTCGGCTGATCTGCTTGGCTCGGACCATGAATCCTCTCCGCTCTGGTCTGGACCAGTGTAAAACCATGAACACTGTACTGCAGCAACATCTCAAGCAGAAAAAAGCAAGAAAAATTAAAATTGATTAAACAAAAAAATAACTGCCCTAGAGCTACTCAGGACTTTCAGCCGTTTCCAGGCACATCTTTCCAAAAAAAAAAAAAAAAAAAAACAATGTTACCAACCATAGAAATAAGTGCATTTGTTTGGCTCAGACAGATTTGTTGGCTGGTCTTTTGGTAGTTTTAACAAAAAATCTGTAAAAACATTCTGGTTTGGCATCACAGTGAGAGAAGCCTTTTGCTGCGGCCACTGCTGTTGGTTGTGTGTCAATTTTTTTGTTTGGTTATAGCACAACAACACCAGTTTTACTTCAATGATCCTATGATAATCCACCAAAAATGTGAAGCATTTTTCTTCTAACTCAATATTCAGTTCCACATTCGCCTACACAACGTCCTCTGCCCCTGGAGCAGCTCGGTGTGGACTTACTTAACCATGCTTGACAGTTGCTCAGATCAGGTGTCTCCCAGTCCTGCAGGGAGGGGGCAGAGTGGAGCTGACCCCTGGCCCGAACAGGAGTCACCCCGACATGCTGATCAAACTGTGGCCAATGCTCCTACAAGAGAGCCTGGCTCCACTGGGACAGAAGCCCACATCCATCAGTGACACCCTCCTCCTGCTCACATCCAACTCCAGGATCAAGTCTGTCCCAGGATCGAACACCAGTGCTCCATCAAGGTCCAGCCAATGAGCCCAGGATTTATGTCTTCATTTAGGGTTATATAACAAACTGTACCGACTGCAGAAGAGGTCCGTAAATCTTTAAGATAAGTAAGAAAGAACGTGGTCTTTTGGGAATTAAACTACTAATAACAAGGAACAACACAGAGGAAATGACACATGAGTTCAGTTTACTAGTCTGAGATTCAAGGTCACCATTTCCTCCACCAGCCAGACTGCAAACGGCAAGTGATCAGCTTCTCCCCAAATCTCCTCTGGATCAAAGGCTTTTAAAGAGAATGCTTTCATTAAACACAGGCTCTTCACAGATTCTGAAAATGTGAGATTTTCTTTATAATAAAATGTTATTGTCAATAAAAGTAAAAAACTATTCTACTCAAGACAAGCTAAAACAACTTGCGAGGAAATGAATGATATGGTTTTCCTTTCCATAAGCATTACTTGAGGAAGCAAATTTGCTATAAGCTATTTGTGCTTAAAAGTAGAACTACCATAAAATAAATGTCAGTGCATCAAGGTACTGTACCATTCAGAACAACTTAAAAGATGATCTAAAATATGTTCAAACCGGTTTAAAACGCTTTTCAAAAAGAGAGCGCTGAAGAAGTACGAGGAAGGAAGGGAGTGAGGCCTTCAGCACAGAGGGAGTGATGGGGGAGAGGTGTATGGTCAGAGAGTGTTTGGGCCTGCGTTTTGTTTGTGTGTGTTCTTTGTTTGTGTTGAATAAAAAAAGTTAGAGCCAAAAAGCGTTTGTCTCGCCCAATCCCTTTTCAAACTTTATATTTTTGAATTTTGTATATTGTGTAAGATAAAAAATCCTTTATTTGTCCCACAGTGGGGGAAATTTCAATTTCAAACATCTATCTATCTATCTAGATAGATATAAATAGTGCAACGTTATCTACATATAGGGCAGGATAATAAATAGATAAAATGACATTCAGTGGATATTCTGAAATTGCTGTATTGCACATTGCACATGTATATGAAATTAAACATATTACTATTACTAAAATGTGCGCATCGATAAGAGCAATTGAGACATCACACTTTGAGCTAAAGCGATACCAGTGGGATATATTCTGCCAGAAACATACATCAGAGCAGCTTGTGAAACACTATTCTCAAAGTGGGATCCATCTAAAGCCCAGGACTGAGATGTGAAGAGAAACAGCAGCGTTTCTGACATCCTCTGGCTCAGGATGGACTCTGGCCTCAGCTCTGTGCACCTCAAGTGCTGACCCATCTCCTTTTTCCATTGCCTGGCCTCAACCCTCTCTAAGTTTGTGATGTCTGCACCTCTTTATGCAACGTGACAGAGCAGATGTTTGATACATTAATAAAAGTCCCACGCACATAAACAAACACTAAACAGTTCAAGTGCGAGATTCATCTTCAGCGAGACAGCGACTTTTGCAATCGTTAAGAGCGTGTCTAACAGAGCTTACTTCTGCATTTCACTCTTTTCAATCACTTTGCTCTTTGAATTCAACCCCTCCCTCCATAGATGTCACGCTGATTCAGGGGATTTGATTATTGCAATTATGCAGGTCACAAGTAGGGGTGGGAGCCTAAGGGTACCTCACGATACGATACAATACACGATACAAAGCTCACAATAAAGATATTATCACGATAACTATTTTATCACAATATGACGATTATCGATATATTGGTCAGAAACATACAATATGCCAATTTATGGCATAAATAAAAGAAAAAATACACTTTATTTCATGATAAATGGAATGGAGATGCGTAATGTAGCCATATATAAATAAGCATTGATACCAATTTTTTTTCAAAATCGATATAAATGCAAATGCATATCGATAATTAAATCGCGGGAGGAAGTATCGCGTCACAAGTGGTCACAAGTATCTTTTGTCTCCCTTCACAAGTGTAACTTTGTGTTAGTATTTTAGTCAAAGAAATCCAAGAAAATATCCTTAGATGTGTGGTTACAACAAGACAAAATGTAGAAAAGGTGATGGGGTATGAATACTTTTTCAAGGTGCTGTATATCAGTGCAGCAGTACTGTATATCAGTGCAGCAGTACTGTATATCAGTGCAGCAGTACTGTATATCAGTGCAGCAGTACTGTATATCAGTGCAGCAGTACTGTATATCGGTGCAGCAGTACTGTATATCAGTGCAGCAGTACTGTAAATCAGTGCAGCAGTACTGTATATCGGTGCAGCAGTACTGTATATCAGTGCAGCAGTACTGTAAATCAGTGCAGCAGTACTGTATCTGTGTCCACTGTAGTGCCATATGCTGATACACAGACCTATAATACATCACCAGTACTCCTTCTTAGATGCACATTGCCTTCATGTGTACTTTTGTTTAAGACGAATGATAACTTCAGAGGCTCAATCACTGAAAAGTGGACGGCTGTCTGTAGGTTTCACTATTTATTGCCGTAAAAAAGAAAACAGGTGAAGACTGGCTATTGTAGCAGCTGGGACCACTTCTGAGGACATCTTAAGAGCTATAAGGGAAAATTGAAATGCTGTTTATTTGCATTACAATCAAATATATGTATTAAGGGTCTGCGATAAAAAGATGACAGGATAATAATACACATCATAAGCGTTTTCATATGCAGTGTAGACCCTTGTGTCGACCCGGGAAAACGGAGGGAAAGATTGGCGGGCTGTTTGGACTCGTGTCAGATTTTCACCACAGGTAAGACAGGCACGTGTCAATTTAAAGGGTCAAAACAAACTTCAAACTTACACAACCAAGACTTCTAAAGTCACAGGACTATGATAAGCAAGTCCTCCACGTGGAGCAATATGAACCTTTTCAAACATGAGTTTAACAAGAACAACTTTGTAAAGCATATTGCACGCAAAAGCCAGATCCAGTCAAACCATTGAAGAGGTGCAGGGCAGGGCCTGGTTAGTACTGTGATGGGAGACCTCTGGGAACACCAGGTGCCACAGTGGGGCGGATGCAGCTGTAAAGTGTCAAACTGTTGTTGTGTCCTTGGGTAAGACACTTCACCCACATTGCCTAGAATGAGTCTGTTGTGTGTATGAATGACTAGTGGTGGTCGGAGAGGCTGATGGCACATAATGGTTTCCTCGCTTCTGTCAGTGTGCCCCATGGCAGCTGTAGCTACAATAATAATCTATCTATGGTCAGAATGAAAGACTAGGATAACAGGCGGGTTGAATGCAGGGTTGTTCTGATACACCAACCCATGTCGCTCAGTGTGGAAGACAGAGGCAAGCCTGAGCATTTGGGTGATAGACCTGTTTTTGCTCGGTGGAAATGAGCCTATTGCATGAAACATATGTTGAATAAGTGTTTACTCCTGAGGCTCTGAATTCCCTGCACAACCTCCCTCTCAAAGGACTTGAAGCTCCTAAAGTTTAAGCAGACACCTCTAAAACAATGACCCAGTTCAAAATCCATGTGTTAAAATGGATATAAACACTTCTACACTTTACGGTCTGCTCCTTTTCTCACTGAGTTATGTTGCACGCACGTCGTTCGCAGGCGCACTGACTGCATGACCCAGCCTGACCAGCTGCGAGAGCGCGGTCCAGTCTGATATTTGTCAAAAGGAGTTTCCGTATTCGGTCTATAGCTTCTGCAGATCTGACACACATGGGCTGTAAGTGTCTCACGGCCTGTTAGCGATTTTGCTGCGGTTTTTCCTGAATCCCTAACTATTGTACGGGTGAATTGGATGTGTGTAAGTTGATGACAATGGGTTTTGGTGAGCCGGGATTTATCGAGCCCAAGAGTGTGAGGGGAGCGGAGAACCGGACCCCGCCCGAGTGATTCTGACTCTTAGCAGTTAGCTCCACATCCATCAAACGCACAGCTCACCACCGACCTGATTTACACAGTGCAACACGCAGCTCCACTCACAAACTCCACTCGCCTTCATACACAAGCCCACAGTAGTTTATTCATTGATTCTGTCAATCTTTTGAAAGAGAGCAATCTGTCTCCTTCCCCAGCGTGAGGCACAGAAACGCTCGGGTTCACTTCAGTGACAAAAACCACACTGATGACGCGCATGACCCCGTTTGCTTTGTATTTAAAATAGTTTTTAAACAATATTTGTTATGGTTTTTTAAACAATACACAATTAGTATGCTGTTTTTTGTCAAAAATAATAAAAATAAAAATAAATTAAAAGCTGGCGGGAGGTGATTGACGGATCGAAACTGCGAATCAGAGCGCACAGGCTCCGGCTCCCGAGTCCAGCGTCTGTGGTCTGGTCTCGCGGACACCACATAGAGCTGCTGTTTTTATGCTTTTGTCAGCGACTAAAAGTGTTAGGATCACATCAACTTGAATGAAGTGTGTTATGGGTGTAAATATGTGACACACTATTTGGCCCTAAGAGGAAGAAAGCGGCTCGACTTTTTTCATCTGTTCATCTCATGGATCTATTATAAACCGGTTCATCTGCGACACTTCACTGAGACTGTTCCAGAACTACAGGGACAATGGAACTGGACTTACTCAAAAGCTGATGTGGAAACACGTTATTCCCACGGTAAAAGACGTAACTCGGACCCCCTCGATCTGTAAGTAGTGACGCTAACTCACTGTATACTTCTGTAAACTAAATAACTAGGGTCTGATTGTGCATCGAGGACATAGGGCTCGATGTGACGGATTGTCATTGTTGGAAAAAAAATATTCTTATGTATGAAATTACTAAGTACAGGTGATGCGTGATGCTACGTCACCTTGGGGGCGGGGGGAGGCGGGCTCACAGGCAGAGGAGCAGACTCTTCTCTGGATCAGCTCGTTTGAGTCGAGGTGACGTCACCTCTATACAAGAGATGGCTCTAATTTCACAAGCTTTGATTGTTGTGTGGTGTATCATACACATTAATATCACACATGTGTATAGGATTGAGTGTGAAACATGAAGAAAAGCGTGATATAGGACCTTTAAAAAATCCAAAGATGTCTTATTATATTACTAAGTAAGCATTTTGAAGGGGAGGCTTTAGTTCCAACAATATTTGTCT